TATCTATCTATCTATCTATCTATCTATCTATCTATCTATCTATCTATCTATCTATCTATCTATCTATCTATCTATCTATCTATCTATCTATCTATCTAACTAAAACCAGCTAAACCATTTTTAACCAAAGTGCCTCCTCTTCAGCAGGGGGCGATGTTACAGCGTCGAGTCCGCCAGACGGTTTTAATCTGGTCAGACGAAGAAGAAACAAACCGCGTCACAGTTCAAAACAATACTTGGAAGTTCCGCTTGTCTCGCGCCCTGTCCTTATGAAGATGTCTCATAACAGCTCAGCCAAAGGCGACCAAGCGTCGGGCAGCAAAAAGCCGATCTCTCTACCGATATCCAGGGTGAGGCTGATCATGAAGAGCTCCCCTGATGTCTCCAGCATCAACCAGGACGCTCTTTTCCTCACCACCAAAGCTACAGTAAGCTAAACATCATCCGCAGCTCATTCATTTGCTAACACTTTTAGCACCGTTAGCTTGTCTAGGGCATGTGAGCTGAAGCAGCGCGTTTGTGTGTGTCTCCTGTTGTTATTGTTTTAGGAGCTGTTTGTACAACACCTGGCTCTATCCTCCTTCAACAACGGCTCAGGGAAGGAAACAAACACCCTGTCGTACAGCGACCTGGCCAACACCGCTCAGGAGGCGGAGACTTTCCACTTTCTCACAGGTGAGAGGCACCTACAGGCACCTCGGCGGTCCTATGATGCACCAGCTGGTTACAGATTATACCTCAGACTGCACAGAGTCCAGATTATTAGAAACAGTGAATTAATACCTCTCCCGTTGCTCTACGCACTGACTCACACAACGTCCGAATAAAAGTCAGCACAAAATCGATTAATTTCCTGTTTCACACGATGTCTGAACCTACCTGCAGTGGCCTCACCCACAGTCTAAGAACTACTGTAATGATAACTGATCAGACTTTGGATTATTAAAGTGTTTAAGGTAGTTAAATAACCAAGCATCAGCAAGTGTAGATAAATGGGAAACTGTGGTTCCGTTGTAGTCGTGTGTTTCCAGTTTCACGGGATTTATGCTTCTGTTTCAAATCTACACCATAGAAACGCCACCCTGAACATGTAACAGCTGTTCCATCACGTTATTGTCTCCCCTAAATAGTTGTATTTTGTGCACCTCTCAGGGCCATTGTAAGGGACAAATATGTATGTCTCCAAAAAGAAAAAGAAAAACAGAAAATAACTGACCGCAACAAAAAGGAAGAAAAATATTTCTGTCATAGATGGTACTGCATATAAAACACTGGGACATCACCCTCAAGTAATAAACACATAAAACACCACAAAAGCATCAAGACTGGTAACAGCGTCAGCCACTTAAGTACATTACCCTGTAGGCTCGACAAAAATTCATCACAGAAGTCTAAAGGGCAAACTGTGGTTGAGCTGAGGTAGTATATTTGCAGTCCACTGGCAGCTTCAAACTACCTGCCTACCTGCAGAGAGCATCTGCTGTCAGATGCATCAAAAACATGTCATGTAACTGTTCTGTGGGTCTTTCTTGTGCTGCTGATGGTCCGTCACCTGGCTGTGGAAAAGAGCAAAGTTATAACATACAAAAACCCAAAGAGAAACTGGGTGTTAAAAGCAATCAAAAGCGTCAATTTCAGACATTGTCTGTGCTTTTTATTCTGTATTTTTGATGTTTTTTTTCCCCTCATGCTTCTCCCGCTCCTGTATGGCCTGTTAGCATGTGACCCTTGCAAAGCGAGCATTGGTTGACAGCCCTTGTCTGTAGGATCTCTATGGTCAAATACCACAACAAATGGACACAATTCCATAAATTAAGCACAAGCAGGAGGAGTACATCAGGAACGGCATCTGATAAAACATTTGTGCCAAATCAAACACGCAGATCAATCCACTATGGTTATCCCTTAGGAAATAAGGGAGCAGCTCACAGTACCTCCACCAGCTGAACACAAGAAGACCAGATTAATCGATGAATTTAAAAAAATAATTAAATTAACTGATTAAGAAAAGAATAAGTATTAGAAACACTGCTTGGTATAATGTAGTATAAACAAAAAGGCTCTAAAATCGCCATAAAACAAAAACTAATTTTAACAGTTTTAACAAAAATCTAAAGTTGTAACCTTCATGAAAGGATGAGTTAGTTTAGCCAGCTTTACTTTAAGGATTATTTGAACTAGCACTGTTTTTAAGTCTCTCAGGCACTGCTTTAACCCTTAAACACCATCAATAAGACTTTTATCTCTCTCATAACTTCATTTTATCTCCTGTGGTGTTTTTGGGTCTGTATCCAAACAGCTCACACTCACTCCTTTGTTACTTTTGAACGTCGGGCTGTCTGAATCCAGCAATTCAGGGGGTTTAAGGTGGAAATGCTCGGGCATGTTGCTGCTCGTTTTGCCTGTGATATCTGCGGTACTTCTGGCTGCTCGATTGTTTTGGGAGAGGTCACCAGAGCGTGCATGTTTGGTTTGGCACAGAATTACACTGGCTGCCCTTCCTGATGGTTTCCTTCTAGCCATTTATCCAGGCTGGGGGCGGAGACTAGGTATACACCGGATTGTGTCCCATTCTGTCGAGGCTTTTTAAGGCGAACATGTTAACCACTACATCGTGGAGCCACTTGTGCTCAGCATGCGTCTTCTGGACATATGATTATGTCAAGGTTTTAAAAATGGCTTTTCTGTAAAAACATTTTCTAAACAGTTTGTTATAATCTATATAAAGTGAAATATCAGATGAATTTTAAATATACAGAAGCTTAAACGTTAATGTGAAAGTAGATTTTAGTGCAGCTGTGCAGTGTGTCAACTTTTTGACAGCCAAGTTTAAAACCATTTGAGTCTTCTTAATACTCTTGAGTTAATATCACTCACTCCTGCAACAAAAAATGAGATCTTTTCCTTCAACTATGCATTTTTACAAATTTTTTGCTTTGTTTTCCTGGACAGATATTCTGCCTAAGAAGATCTTGGCTCAAGATTACCTCAACTCTTTGGAGCAAATGCAAGAAGAAGAAGGAGCTGATTACTGAAACAGGAGGATGGTCCACATTTCCCATCTGGACAGATGTTATCGCATCTACTCTTCCAGCCTGTCGCCAAAAGCAAAGTGACCGTCAGTAAAAGACACTTGAACTCTCGAGTTCATCTTCAGGGCTTTTGTAAAAAGTTAGAGGACGTGGAGCTAAACGCAAACTCACATGGGATCAATGTGAAATCAAGTGAAGACTCAAATTTCAAACTCCCCCCAACAGTAAATGAAGTTCAGCGACCCTTTTCTGCAAACTGACAGATATATTTTGTGTGAGCTAAAGTACTGTCATTACTAATATATGATGCAAACAGGAGTTCAGAACAAGTTTGCATATAAGCTTGTGTACTTAGACTGTTTATGGAGGTTCCCGGGTAGCACTGACTTAATTGGGCTGCTTGATTTGCGTGCACCGTTATCGGAAATGTTTCTGCATAACTGGCCAGTACGGACTTGTTCCACATGAGCCAAGACATGGGAATCCAGCCCACGCAGCTGGAGCGCAGACGTCTTAGCTTCTGTGTTACTGTTGGCTTAAAAAAAAATAAGTGGGTGAAAACATTATTTTAAAGGTGCTGTGAAACATTGATCTCAAACTCAGATGTGCTGTTGCTACTGTTAACCATATATTCGTGTTGTGATTTGACTGTCAAGAACTTGAAATTTACTAGAAGTGGAAAAACTACAAAACAACTGAACATGCTCTGAAGTTCAAAATAAAATCTCAGACTCTAACAGATGTAAATATTTAAAGTGTTTCAGCTTAGTCGGCATATCGCCCTCTGTGTATTTACAAATGTGTGGTTTAGATTTGATATTAAAATAAAAATTCATGCTGTCTTGTTTTGCACTGAACGTTTTTATTTTTTATTTTTTAAAATACCAGTTTATGAATTTGGTGTGTTAAACCACTCGCGTACTCTCCTCTGACCTCCTCGTGTTTCCGGCAGTTTAGAGGTTTAATGTGACCATGAAATCTTCATACCTTTGCAAACAGGTAATATAGAGCCATGGTAAGATTTACGATTTTTATTTGACCTATTGTACTGTGTCATCATTTCTTTAACAAAAACTAAACCAGAATACATAAGCAGCATGTTTTAAAGAAAAAGAAGTCCATAAAACTAAAGTGCACCCCATGATTTAGCAGCTTGTCGAACCACCTTAAGCAGGAACTAATCGTTTTCTGTATGACTGTCAATCTCTCATATCGGTATGGAGGAATTATGACCCACTCTTCTTTATAACATTGCGTTAGTTCATTGATGTTTGCAAAGACTCATTTATGCACAGCTCTCACAGCATTTCACTAATGCTGAGGTCCAAACTTTGTGCCTCTGCAGCACCTTGATTCTTGATTCTGCTCAACCCCCAAAGTGTTCCAGAGTCCGAATTC